GGTGATTTGGTGATGGGAAACCCGTGGGGATTACAATTGAGATGAAAAAAAAATGTGCAAAATGATGTAAAAATAAACTTTTTAATAAAAAAAAAAAAAGTTCTCAGCTTCAACCATAGCCAACAATTTTTTTTTTCCTTTGTGGTTAGTGCAGTATAGTTACGTTCTTATTTCTTTCAACTTCCTAAACAATATTTTGTACTTTTTTCTTTTGATGAGAAGCTCTTGTACACCATATATTAGATTTATCACTAAGCATTTTATAACTTTGATGCTAATGTTTTCTAATTGCTTCATCAGCTTTATTATAAATTCTTTTTATATTGACCTTATCTCTAGCAACTTAAGAAAATCCATTGACTAATCTTACTAGGTTAGCCATAGAACCTTTTGATCTGCAACATAAACTATCTTGTCATCCATGGAAAGTGCGAGTTTTATTTCTTCCTTTATACTCAGCACAGTAGACTGAATGGGTCCCTTCAAAATTCACATGCTGAAGTCCTAAACCCCAAAACCTCAAAATGTGATTATACCTGGAGAGAAATCCTTTCAAGGAGTAATTAAGGTAAAATGAGGTGACTCGGGTAACCCTAATGTAAAATAGCCACTAATTAAAAAAGAAGCTGAGGATACACACACGAAGGAATATTCGCACAGACACAGGGAGCAGACTGTGCTGACACTGATCTTGGAACTTGAACTTCCAGAACTTGAAGGAAATAAGCGTCTGTGGGCTCTCCCTGATGGTGCAACGGGTTAAAGCTCCACACTATGAAGCTCTCAGAAGCCACTGCAGCACGAGCTCAATCCCCAGCCCCGAGGTGACCCACATGACACAGCAGACCTCCTCTGTCTTGCCCACTGCTCCCCTCAGCAGTGTATTTCATCAATCTGACTTTTCTGCTTCCCACTCTGTCTCTGGTGAATCCTCTCACCCACACACCTCTGGCCTATACTTCAATTCTGTAAGCATAAATAATAAATAAATCTAAAAAAAAAAAAAAAACAAGCATCTGTTGCTTAAGCAGT